GGAATTTCCAAATATAAATTTATATATGCCCCATTTACATTGATCTGTCTTCCATTTTTTTTCTCTCCTGATATCATCATCTTCTTTCCTCATTTCCCATGTTAAAGAGCTCCAAGGCAACATAAATATCAGTCAATATTTAATATATTCATAGAATCCTCAAGAAACTCCTTGAAGGGTAGGGCTATAGAGTAATAGAGTTCCTTTATTCATTGGGTAATCTTTCCCTTGTTTATTTTTCCATCTAGAATAACCCAAATTCTCAAATAAAGCCACATAATTAATTAACCAGGCTGTGTTGGATACAGTTGAAATGTTCAATCAGATTATCAACATTTAATCCTTTTCCCTGTCTTGATCAAGAGCAGAATTCCCCTCCTGGACAGAACTTTTTTATCTTTCCAATTACTGAGCCTCTCTCTGTTCTTCCAGTGGCTGTGTCATTTGATATCTCCAGGGCTGACATTTCATTAAGTTGATCAGGTAGACAGTTTTACATTGCCTCTCCCAGAGTGAGCAACCTCAGTACCAATTTCTAAAGTATGCTTTACTTTTTTTCTACATGTCAGGGGAAATAAAATTAAGGAATGTGCCAAATTGTGTTTGGAATACTTAACATTCTTAACATTGATAACTATTAGGACTGTTAATATTATAATACAATACTAAGCCACTAATATGACATTTTTATTAATTTGACTACTAAATAGTCAAGAATTTTTTGAAATAATTTACATATAATTCTTATTTAAATACAAAATATAGAAGTTAAAACAGTGTTAATAGAAATAATGGATTAGAACAGAGTTGCATAAACTGTCGCTGGGGGGCCAAATACCACTTACTTTTTACTTGTGTATGCCTAGCAAGCTAAGACTGTTTTTTTGTGGGTTTTTAAAATTACTTTTCTAAATGGTTGGAAAAATAGAGATGAATAATGTTTTAAAACACATGAAAATCACATAAAAATTACATTTCACTTTCCATAAATAATGTTTTGTTGGACCATAGCCATACCTATTTGTTTGTGTATCCTCTGTGTTATCTATGTCTACTTTTGCCATGCTATGGAGGAAGTGATTAGCTACAATGGACTATGTGGCTCTCAAAGCTTAAAACATTTACTGTCTGTCCATTTACAGAAAAGACTTAGGTAACCTCTAAGTTAGATGAGAACGTAAACTGTCCTATGACTTACTTCACTAAAACTTGATTACTCTAAACATCAATGAATTAGTTCAAAGAAAGCAGAAGAAGGTTAAGTACAGTGGAGGTGGTATTTGGAAGAATGGAACAAAAAATTGGTTAGGATATCTGGATTTTGTATAGGTTACAATATAATAACAGTTTTATAAAAATTAACCCAGCACATGCCCACTGTTCACCTGGCACTTCTTGAAGAGCTTTCTGAGCCTTATGGTTACTGTCACAACTAGTCTACTGGAATATCTCTCACAACCATTTGAAATTGGCACTATTATTAGACTCATTTTGGAGATAGAGAATTGAGACTTAGAGAGGTTAAATAACTTGCCCAGTGTCACCCAACCAGCAAATGCAAAGTTAAGCTTTGAACAGAGACAATTTGGCTCTTGAGGTCAATATTTTAACCATATAATGCAGTTCACACTTTGCAAAGATAGCACCAATTTTTTTTATACATGTTTTGATTATTCACTAATGTGTATGTGGCCAACTATCCATTTGCTCATTATCTCATGATCTTCTGGCCTGAGCATGGTCTTGGTTAATTTAAGATGAAATGGAATTCCTATAGATTATTAATGTCACCAAGGTGCACACTTCTTTTAAAATTGATTCTTATATTTCCCTCAGTGTTTGAGTGACTGAAATAAAATGAAAGCAGGCAGGCTATAGTTCAATCCAGGTAAAATGGAAGCTTTCGGGGAATCTGAAGAGTGTTCTATACTGAATTAAGCCTGCACAGAGCAAAAGTGATTTAGGATATTGCCTCAAAAAAGAGAAAGTTTTCATTATATGTTGCATAGCATACCAGTTGTTACTTTTATCTTTACCTGGTCATCTCATTACAAGCCTTAAAGGCTGAAAACTTTTACTCAAATCCATTTTTTAACAATGCCACGTGTATGTATGCATGCCTACATAAAATCAGATGAGCAGGGGGCATTGTCAGGGCTTCTTTACTGAAATTAGATGTGTCACCAGCTTTTTCCTTCACTAAAATTTCCGCTAGCACAGAGAACAATAGGCCATGTGTGTAGAGCAATTAGTGTTATCAAGGCCTGAATAATCACTTAAATCCCAAGTAAGCTACTTTGGAGTGGATTATTTATTTACCCTTGACTTATTTTACTGTGCTGTTGGGATTTCTTAGGGCTTAGAGAGACAACACGCTGCCGCTGCCGGTAGTAGGCATTGTCTTTATGAGAGGCCACTGTTGGAATGAAAATCTTTTGGGATTCGTGTCTTTCCTGTCTGACTTATTTCGCTTAGCAGAATACCCTACACTTCACTTCGTAAGGTATATAAAGGTTCTACCACTAGATAGTACACCTGAAACTAATATAATATTGTATCTCAACTGTAATTGAAAAGTAAAATAAAAAATAAATAAATAAACAAAACCTATTGGGCTAGAGGTGGGTAAATTGTAGGTTAAAAAAAATTCCTTTGTTTGGGTTTGAGGAAATATCTAGGACAGTGCTTTGAATTCTCTGTGTATTTTCTTTCTCCTTATTGAATAATGGACTTTTTCTTCTGACCTTCAGGCAGTAGTGTTTATACAGGTCTTCACACAAATAATTTTTGTGGTCTTTTGAGTGGGTAATTGGGCATTCAGTTAGAAGCTTTATTTTGATGATGGGCTAATAGGTTAATTCTGTATTTGGAAATGCATTCCATAGTGTAGAATATATATATATATATATATATATATATATATATAGCCAAAAAAAGTATATCCATTTTAAGAAAAAAATATTATTAAAATTGTAATACTCAATATATACCAATAACAAAAGATGAATACAAGTCACGTTTGACTTCTGCAATTACAAGAGGTGCTCAAAGTGGTTACCATCAGCATCCAGACACTTCTGATCATGGCAACCTACTGTTTGAGTATAGATAACATCTCTTAAAATGTGTATGCATTTTTTTTGGCACCTCTGGTATATGTTTTAAATAATGAGTTGTCAAGCCAGTTTCCATTTTCAAAGCATTTTGCTTTCATCCAAAGGCAGGCACTTTTTGGTAAACAGATTGTGTTATTTAACTGTAGCCATTTCTTCGTCCACCCCAGAAATCTTGTTTCTCCTCTAAAGAGAAACATAAATGTGATATTTATAATTCACATGAAGGCTGTGGGAGCTAGCATCAAGTGCTTATGATTATACTTAGATGATAAAAAAAAAGTAATGAAAGTCTAGTAGAGTTTGCTTATTGCTGTTGGCCTCAAGGGCAGCATCATTTAAATTCAAACAGCACTGCCCTCTGCTATGAAAAATTGCCCAAAGGGCAAAGAATTGTCTCCAGGGCTCTTCATTGATGCACATTAAGCCTTGGTGGAGAACAGATTTCCATTGACAGTATGAAAGGGAAAACGAGAGTGTTTTGTAGAAAACGATTCATTTCAATAAATAATTTCCAAATGATTTCATTAGATAATTGAGGCTTTTCAAATATGAATTTATAGAATTAGGGCAGAAAGATGAATAGTGACATTTAGTAATGCCTCACCATGAAAACAGCCTTGGCTGCCACTCTGAAACTGAGCATATAATTATTAGAGCCCCGTCATCTTATTTTATTTTATTAGGGGTCACGGTCTATTAAATTTCCTACATCCTGATGAAAATGTGAACTTTTATTTGGCAGTACTGTGAATAACACAAATCTAATATTGGACTTGATTTTATTAATCAAAGGAAGACAGCAAAGGCACACACACACACACACACACACACACACACACACACACACACACACACACCAATAAGCAAAACAACACAACCAAACAAAGATATAAGGAAAACAGAAAACATTGGGAGGAGGAAAAATAACTAATTTCTCTGCTTCTGTCTTTCTCAAAAATTGATGAATATTTGTATCAGATGATATCTGACTTCTTTGGTGAAAAGCATACATTTCTTAGAAAATGTTAGGAAGTATCATTTGAAACCATAGGTGGAATGGTAAAAAACAACTTTCTATTTCTTTAATTTCTTTCCCTCTTTAAAAATATGAAAGTGACATTTTTGTCATTGACTTAATAATCATAAACAGCTATCATTACGTTAGTCATTTATCATAGTTTTGCCTTAATTCTCTTTCAAGTGAAATGTGAATATTGATATTTACCCTGTTTACCTCATGGGATTGTGACAATATCAAAGAAAATATCTCTTCAAACATATCAACATTATATCAGCTGGTTTGCAAGCTACTCCAAAATATTTAAGTAAACTAAATATTTTCTTTAATTTTCTTGAGAAACACCCCAATCTGCTTATTGACCAAATTCAGATCAGTTAAGCAGTTATTTCTAGTTCTCTCTCAAAGAAAGTAATGAAAATGCAAGAAAACAGGTGTCCACGATTATGAATGATTTAAGAAAAATGGGTAATTTTTTCCAAGTGTTAAGACACTGCTCATCAGCCCATGATCTGATGTCCCTTTATCCCTTTGTGCTGCTAAGTTCTAGTGTCATCCAAATAAAAACCAAATTTATTATCTGTCTCCATTTAATGTTTGCAATAACACATTTGAACTATGTCCCATTAGACCATTTTACTTAGATAATTACTCATTTATTACCATCCAGGTTATAATTTTCCATTCACTGTACTCCTTGGCTTTTCTAATTAGATCATTGAGCACCAATCCTTTCTCTCTCTCTCTCTCTCTCTCTCTCTCTCTCTCTCTCTCTCTCTCATCCTCTCTCTCTCCCTCTCTCCCTCTCTCTCCCTCTTTCTCCTCCCCCCATTCCCTGAAGAATTAGCTGATTAGCCCATACTTACATAATCATGCCATCTTCTCCATCAGCTACCCCCAAAATGAAGCAAATTGCAGCCAAGTAGGCACCTTGGATAAACTCAATTACATCTTCCACTTGACAAAGCTCATCTTCCATTTTGAAATACAGTGTACTGCAAATAACTGAGAAATAAAATGATGAAAGGTAAAATTAGGTAATACATGTACAATGTTTTCATCTATACACGAAATCTGGCTTTTAGTCTGCTGAAAGGTTTCCATTTTTAAAGTTTTCATATGAAACAACACCTAAAATAATGATTAGTCACTTTGGCTTAATAACGTCCTCTCAAATAAAGACAAATACCATATGATTCCACATATATATAAAATCTAACAAACAAAATAAACAAACAGAATAGAAAAAAAACTCATAGATACAGAGAACATTCTGATGGTTGCTAGATGGGAGGGGGTTGGGGAGATGGGTAAAAAAGGTGAAGGGATTAAAAAGTACAAGGTGGTAGTTACAAAATAATCACAGGGATGGAAAGTGCAGCATAAGGAATATAGTCAAGAATATTGTAATAACTATGTATGGTGTTAGATGGGTGCTAGGTTTATCAGGGTGATCACTTCTAAAGTTATATAAATGTCTAATCACTATGTTGGACACCTGAAAAAATTAATATAATATTGTATGGCAACTATAATTAAAAAATTAATAAGTGCTTAAAAATAATAACTTTCTTTCATATTCCTTTAGGGCAGATTCAGCATTTATCTTCTCTAAACCCCTAATTAGTACAGGATTAGCAAGTTCCTCCATCCCCCCCCTCTCTTCTTTCCTTCCTTCCCTTCTTTCTGACTAGTCTCGGCATCCTCCTGCTTGGACTCATTCTTTGCTCTCTTGCTCTCTCTGTGTCTGGAATAAAACTTCTCCTGAACAACAACAACACAAAACAGCCATGAAGATAATGAACATCTAGAACCTACAGTGAAGATGTGGAAGGGATTTGGAAATCAAATTTACATATTTATCACTTTTATTAGTTCACAACTGCATTGATTTAGTTCACGTTATTAAAGGATAAAAATATATATTAAGGGGTTAAATGTTTTCTACTTAGCTTTGGTTTTTACTTTTCTTTTTTTTTTTTAGCTGAGCCATCCTGCCACCTGTTGGCAGCTCAGCAGCTGCTCAGCTCGGGCAGGGCCTCGAACCGCTGTTGCTCAGAGCTCAAACTCCTGAGCGAGCTCTTAACCAACTGAGCCACTCGGCCGGCTTACTTTTCATTTTTTGATGAAGATTTAGTGCCTCATTTAATCTATAGCAATTATGTAAAGTTATTATCAATAACACTAGTTGAAAAAGTAAAATAAATTTAATCAATATTCATGAGATTAATTCATTGACCAGAAGAGGTTAGATAGTCATGGTTCTTAAAACTGAACTATCTAGTTCCCTGCCTTTAGACAATGTCACTATAACCATTTTATATATAAGGCAACTAACCACGTGGGTAAAAAGAACATATTTGTTCCATTTCAAATCCAAGTTCCTTCATGATACATGAATCATCCTAAACTATTCTTCAAACTTATCATTCAACCTTTGCTTGAACAATTGTAGAGGTGAGAAAATCATCATCCCAGTTTTTATAAATTAATCATTAGAAATGTCATCTTTCTATTGACCTAAAATTGATTTCCTTTGTATCCCTGGTGATGCCAATCATGTTGCCAAAGCTAGATGGTGGCCATATCTGGCGGATTAGTTTTCAGGAGCAGATTTTTCATGGGAAGAACTTTCTGATCCATTTGAATGTTTCTTACAGGGATATACATACATACATATATATATATATATATATATATATATATATCACAAGTTGTATTTGTTAGAAGTCTTTAAATGAAGGCATCAATCCTTGCCTTATCACCAAGATTTGGATACTTATTGCTGCTAGTGACTTCTACTTTATTATAATTAACAACAGTTGAAGAAGAGGCTCTTGCAGGTATTTGCCCTACTTATCAATTCTTTGCTATTTTAATTGTCTATGAGACTATAAACTTTCTACTGGCAGAGCTCCTGTGCGTCCTGCTCAGAGATATATCTCTAGAACTGCACTGTTCAATATGGTAACTACTAGTCATATGTAGCTATGAAAAATTATATTTAAATTAATTAAATTAAATACAATGTAAAATTCAGTTTCTTAGTCAAACTGATCACATGGCAAACCCTGAATCGCCACATGTGGTTATTGGCTACCATGTTGCACAGTGAAGATTTAGAAGTTTTATCATTACAGAAAATTCTACTTGACAACATTGTTTTAGGGCCTAGCACAGTTTCTAGAGAAAAGACATAAATATTAACTGAATTTACTTATTAATCAGTCTTTAGGGGGGCAGAAATACCACTTATCTTGTGTTCATGATGGGGAGGTAGATTTTGGATTCCAGTATATGTGAAAGAAGCTTCAATGCAATTCCTAGCCCTTATAATCTACTTCCTAGACCAGAAAGGCAGCCAAGAATGATCATAGTCTAAGAATGAAATTTCATGAGACCAAGTGACTATTGATAGGCATTCAAGAAATGGCGGTAGTCGTGGGGACCTGTCTTAGTTTGTTCAGGCTGCTATAACAAAATACAACAGATTAGGTGGTTTATAAGTTAAAGAAATTTATTTCTCCCAGCTCTGGAGGCTGGAAGTTCAAGATCAGGGAGTCAGCATGGTCAGGTGAGGGTGCAGATTTCTTCTTGTATCCTCACAGGGTAGCAGGAGTAGGGACACCTGTCAGGCTTCTTTTATAAGCGCACTAGTTCCATTTACTAGGGCTCTACCTTGATCACATTCCAAAGGCCCTACCTCCTAATACCATCACCTTGGAGGTTAAGTTTCTACGTAGGAATTTTGGGGAGGCACAAACATTCAAACTATAGCAGGACCTTTTACAAGTCGTACTTATGATGAATTCTTTGGCTACCTAAATGAGATTGGGAGAAAAGCTTTGAATTAAACATGTGAGTTTAAGATAATAGTAAAGTGACTATAGAAAAAATTGTTAAAGATGTTTTTAATTAAATGCTCTTTCTTGGGCCGGCCGAGTGGCGCGATGGTTAAGAACTCGCTTGGGATGCCAGAGGGCCCCGGTTCGGATCCCACATATGAGGGCCAGTGACACTGCCCTCTGCAGCTGAGATGCTGAACAACAGCTCAACCTGGAGCTGGGCTGCCGTGGGTCGCTGGCGACGGCGTGGGCTGCAGCCCCTGGGGCAGTGGGTTGCCATGGGCTGCCGTGTGCAGCCAGCAGCCAGCGTGAGCGGCCAGCAGCCGCAGTGAGCGGCCGTCCAGAAGCCGGCGACTGATCTGCCTCGCCAGGGAAGAGCGCAATGATGGTGCCAACTTGGGCCAGTGAAGCAACGTCCTCCACAACTAGACTGAAGAACAAAAAAAAAAACGACAGCAACTTGTCTGTTCCCCCTCCCCAAATTCCCCAGCACTGTTCCCATCCCCCCAATTTCCCAATAAAAATCTAAAAAAAAAAAAAATGCTCTTTCTTTACCTTTCTTTCATACTATTTTTTTTTAAGATTTTATTGGGGAATTGGGGGAAGGGGAACAGACAAGTTGCTGCTGTTTTGTTCTTCAGTCTAGTTGTGGAGGATGTTGCTTCACTGGTCCAAGCTGGCACCATCATTGCTTTCTTCCCGGGCAAGGCAGATCAGTCGCCGGCTTCTGGATGGCCGCTCATGGCGGCTGCTGGTCGCTCACGCTGGCTGTTGGCTGCACACAGTAGCTTATGGCAACCCGCTGCAGCAGGGAACTGCAGCCTACGCTGTCGCCGGCGACCCACGGCAGCCCAGTCCCAGGTCGAGCTGCCATTCACCATCTTAGCTGCAGAGGGCAGTGTCACTGGCCCTCATATATGGGATCCAAACTGGGGTCCTCTGGCATCCCAAGCCAGTTCTTAATCAACGCGCCACTCGGCCGGCCCTCTTTACCTTTCTTTCATGCTAGCATTTTTTCATTAAATTTGCAAAAGCTAGATCCAATTTAAGGCCTGTCACTCCATCTTTAGTTCACACTGTTTTCTTTCTCTATAATGCCACCTTGTTAATACACAATATTGTGCAGTGGCCACAAGACCCCAAAATAATAGATTTTTTTTTTTTTGTAGATTAAATTCCCCCAGCAGTACTATCTGTTTACTGTTTATAACCTTTTCCTTTTGAGGTCTAATATTGAAACAAGGAAAAGGAAGTGATGAGATACTTTCAACTTGGTGCTTGTAGTTTCAACTCTTTAAGCCACAAATTAAGGAGGACCATAATGGAAGCGTGGCAATTTGAAGAAAAAAACACTCCTTAACCTTTGTCCTAGCATTCATTCATCTAAGAAATTCTTTAATCTAGCAGAAATGTTAAAATGAGAGAAAATTGATAGAACAGGAGCACTGAAGTCACTTAGCCAAAATTTCTCATTGAATAGAAAAGAACGTGGAACCACCAGAGATTTTCCAAAGTCTAAGCAGCTAAAGTAAAAATTCCTTGACATTTGCATGGGTGCTAGGTAAAAAGGATTTCTGAAATGCATTCTTGTATCAACAAACATTTACTGAGAATTTATAAGTGTCAATCTAATGAGGGCTTTTATTCAATGATGAAACAAATACGGTTTTAAAAAACATGTAAGTTAAGATAATTGTGTCGATTCTCCCTGTCTCAGAGACAAGCTTTTTAGCATCTACTCTTATCAAAGATAACACGAATGTTTATGACTTAAAAGTGTCTGCTTCATCCTGTTTAATTGACATTTTATAAAGTCATACTCACCAGACTTCAACCATAAAACGCAGTGTTAAGCTAGTAATTGCTCTAAACACTTAACAAAACTATGCCCTGGCAGAATTATACCCACAAATACATCCCTGGTGAAAGATTGGCCAACCAGAGAAGTTGTTGACTCTTTGCAATGCAGCTCTGAAACCCAAGATGACTATTTAGAGACCAGTTTTCGTTGGAGAATATGAAGATGCTTTCATTCATTCACTCTTTCATTCATCAAATATTAATTCAGTGTCTATCATTTAGTCATGAGATAGATGCTTGGGATTCAACAGTGAATAAAGCAAACATTCCTGCTCACCAGGAGCTTGCATTTTAGTAGAC